TTTACTTCAGCATTTGGAAAAAGAAAAGTTCTCCGGACGTCAAGAATCTCTTGCGATGAGGGTCGTCTTGGATTCGCTCCATACAGGGTGGTGCAAAAGTAGGCATGCAGTTAACTGTTTGGTGACACTGATGCGTTTGAGGAGATTGAGGAAAATGAGGAACCGTGTCAGGAAGTGTACAGAGGGGTCAAGGACTGTTGCCAGAAATGTGCCAAGGACTGTTGCCGGAAATGTGCCAGTCGTGACGGCCACCGGTTTCAACATCTCCCAGAATAATTTCTATATGTTTTGTAAGTAAATTTAAAAAAGATAATTCTATAACTTCTCTTTCGGCACCCTGGACGATCGTGAGTGAGTGACTTACGCTTATTCCAACCACGTTGGAATCTCATCATTTGGAAATGATGAGAGGCTGAAACCTGGTACACAAATAGTTGTTGGATTTCTGACTCCAGAAAAATTCCAACTTTGGGGACGCATCTTGCAACGTCTCATTTTATGAGCATAGGTCTAACCCAGGAAAAACTGCTTTGGCTAATACCACTCTCATCCACGTTTTTCCTTCAAGGCGGCGGAAAGGAAAATGAGTAGCCGTTGGGTTGCGTATGAGAGATAAAGTTAGACTCAAAACGTGCGTGCCCTGAGGCTACTGAATTGGCAAGCTACTGAATTCGCATCCATAAATTTTACGGCATGTCCAACCGAGAATCCTGCCGCCTTTGGCCTTTGCCTTTTGGCCTTTGCCTTTCTATATCTTTGGCTGATTGGAAGGACACTGGTTCATGCGTGCCGGTACGCTTCCAAATGCGAAGATGTTACAAAGCTTTTCTAGCAGGGAAATGGGTAGGAAGTTTCCTTCGAGGCTGCGATTTAATGAGGCTATGCCCGATCCACTTGTTGAAAATAGGATTGTCCTAATTTTCATGTCCACACTTCTTTCAACGAATGGGAGCATGAAATACCATGGGCTGCACTCATGGAATAACGCATTTTCTTATGGGGCAAGTGTATGTAGCTGTGAGGCAGAGTTTGTTGGAGGAATTTCATTGGAGTCCTAGGGCCCGAATATATATGAAACTCTCCATACAGTCGTCTAAGAAATATTGTGTTAAGACGCTGGAGTAAAGAGCTTAAGTGTCCTTTTTTGACATACGCAAATTTGATTGTGACAACAGCAGGAATTGAATGCACAATTGCAGCACTAACCGACGCAGGTAAATTTTTACCTGGTGATCCTCGTGCCGGAAGTCATATGACGTCACCAGTAACGTTTTCTGTAACAATTTTGGGGTGCCAGGTACCCTAATTATGACCACGTAATTAGGGTAGAGCTCCGAAAAGGGATGCTTTAAATAAATTAGTAAATTCCTCTGGTCACAGAGCGCCGAAGTCTTGTCCACAGCGAGTTTGCTTGCCCAGAGGTCAAACAAACTCTAGTTTCAAATGTGAATCCTTCCAAGAGAGAAGGACCCTCACGCGTGATAACGTCACATGCTCACTATCTCACTATCTCACTCACATGCTCGTATCTCGGCGTCACTTTCCCGAAAATGTTGAGGCATCGCCCTGAGTTGCGACGAATCCAGGAATAAAACATATTGATGTGATTTTCTCCCCCATTTTCTTCCTGTTATCATTTCTTCCGGCCTAGAAATTGCCTGCTCCACGATATTTATGTAAACACAGAAGCAAGTGTGGTGGACAGTTTAAAGATAAGCAATATGAGAATTTCAGGACTTTCTATATCATGGCAGGTACACTTAAATACGTTCAATACCATTTCATTCGAAGGTGTATATTGACGGAACGCACTTTGTGCAGTCGATTTGAGAAATTCTTTATTGTTCAGAGTAATTTAATTCTACTCGTGGAGTACTTACGGTATCGCCACTCCTAGCTCGATACTTCCTACTAGCAATGGCGACATTTGCTTTATGAGACAAGGAAGATCGCCCTACAGTGTATGGAGGTACAAGAAAAATAAATCCAGGAGGAACTTTATCTTTAAAACAATGGAAGGAAAACTCCAAAATTTGAACCAATGGAACAGGAAAGAGGATTCGTGCAACTCGCTGGATGGGGCAAAGCAGCGGAAGCCAGGGCTGGAGGTGAAAGCAGCTGCATCCATCCGTTTCCTCTCGAGAACGTCAGCGACTGCAATTGACGGTGGAAGGTGTTATCAAGGATGAGCGAAGGATGACTGCCATCAAGGATGAGCGAAGGACGACTGCCATAGTCTTTTTCACCAATGAGACGGCGCAATTCCTAGGAGCTCCATCGCACTGCTTTGGAGTTCAGACAGCAGTTTACACTTACTTGGTGTTCCACCTAGGTAATAAATTTTGGAAAAACTTGGAATTGGAATTGTAAAAAATTTTTTTTAAAAGCTAGAATAAAGTTCATGGAGATTTTCTGACGATAGACTCCCGAGATGTGCCTTTCGCACTGTTGAACTGTATATCACTCCATCGTAGAAGCGCTAAGGACCTTCAAGCGCGTATTTCGTCGTCAGGATGCACCGAACCGAACGCCAATAGTTTTCTGCAGGTTCTGTCGAAGCCAATTGTATAACCACGTAGGATGAGATGGTATTCCTTCTTGGCGTCCCGACGACGAAATTCCCGCTTGAAGACCTTTCGTGCTGCCACAATGAAAATGATGGCTAGGGTCGGGTTTCAAACAATACGCTTGGCAAGATCTTGAATTTCCAAGTCTTGATGAGATCTCCTTAACGCCCAGTCAAGTGTCGATAAACTTCTGATTTTTTTGTTTGTTTTTTTTTTATTCTCCCCTCATTTTACCTGATTTGAGATCGTTGTAGAGCCCTGCAAGGGCTGTGGCCCGGCCTGATCGCCCTGACCCGAGGTCTTCAAGGTTCGAAATTTTTCAGGATCCTTCTTCGGGTCCGGTCGGGCCGAATTTTAACACTTAAATTTTATTGTTCTTCCGGTCTGAGACCATGGAAACTCCTTGTCGTTTAATTTTTGCTCGTGTCGGGTTAGGTCTGGCCGTAAAGTTGAGTTGGAATTGGGGTCGGGTACCGGGAAATCAGCCCGTGCAGGGCTCTACATCGTTGTCAACTTGACATGATCTTGCTTTTTTCTTGCCAAGATTTTTTCTTAAGCCGAACCCTAGAAAGTAATGAAAAAATGAAAATCCCAACGAACCAGGCTTTAACCAACGAAGACACGAAGCAGGTCCGTGTGAAATTCATTCCTAAGCAATGACAAAATTAATTGTGGAACACCCGGTACTTCCGGTTTCCATGTTAAGAGCGATTAAGGGCTTATCAAACACAATATTGAAAATAAACAAATAGTATTTGCTTTTGAGTAGGAAAACTTTTTTTTTAGGTGTAAAATCAAAATCTCAATTTCGCCACATTTTTCCTTGCCAGACAAATATGCAAACGTCGTCTGGAGGAAACCCACTCCTATTTTCTGGAGGTTTATCATCGCTGATGAGCCTCCTGACACGAGATTGGCCTTTTCTGCAAGTGAATGTCATGGTGATTCAGGCTGGAAGTCGGGTTGTCCAGATGAGACGAGAGGACGACTGAGGCGTGTAATATGCTTAGCAACTGGCGTGACGGGCGGATTTTGGAAATTCTTCGAGCGCTGTCGATATTCGCTTTCCTGTTTCTGCATGGTGCTTCCGATCTCTTCGTGCACGGTGCTTCCGGTAACAAGCCGTGATGGTTTGACCAGGTGGATTTCGACTCTTGATTTTTGGGTCGTGGTTCGCAACGAACCCTGCCCTGCACCCGTGAGCCAGTTAAATAAATAATATAATTCAATATAATTCAATTCAAAATAAATAATAGAATAGTGAGAATGGTATACACGGTGATGAAAAATACTTCGAAGGTAGACATTCCACGAAGTCACTCGACATCAGTTCAGCGGAAACCGAGAAAGTACAGGTGAGGTCTCAGCTGCTCAAATTCCATTCGTTAAAAAAAATTCCCACGAGTTCCGATTCCGCGAAGTTATTCCAGACCTGGAAAACGGCAAAATTTTGCGAACATTTTGACAGTCTTCCCTTCTATAAAGCTTCGTTCGCCGTTGCCCCAAAAGTTGTAAATTTACGAGCTTGTGCGCGAGAAAATCGGACGAAAACCGGGGGAAATGTGTTGGCATGCTGGTCCGCTTTATTTTTTTTTTATTATCGAATATTAATTAAATCTTCACCTCGGAGACTAAACCATGACCCCGGGAATTTCGGCCAGAAGGCCATAGAAACTTTTAAAAAATTTCGAAAGGAACGTTTACTGGCCCAGACTCAGCACGCCCCATCGAAGGAATCCCTCTTGTTCCATCATAAGTGCATAATATGAAAATTTTGGACCATTATAACTTCTTGCTAATAAGTTATGTTTCATATAACACATGAAATAATGAGACATTGCTCTCCATAAGTATGGTAAATTATTTTCTAAATTTGTTACAGAAGGTTATACCCCACTAAAATAGAAAAAGATGGCCGTCTTCATTTGGGTCCAGTATCCATACAAAATATTAGGCAAAAGTGGTTTCCCGAAAGATGAGCAAACCGGACGCCATTTTTCGCGCAAAAATTGCAAGAAAAATCAATTTATGTTTCTGTGAGAAAAAAGTTATTTCCCCGTCGATCGGAATTCTTCGTGGTTCCTAATAAAATTATTTAAATGAACGAAAGTCCATATGAAATGAGGAAAGGCTTGAAAGTGATGAGAATGCCGGCTCTGAAATGAGGACTGGATGCCATCGACGGAAGGCGGATGACTTTCGTTTCGGACGGTCACGTCAGCTGAGCATTCAATTGTCCGCATGCCATCGTCAGGATGCAGAAATGAGAAGAGAGGGAGACTGCGCGGACTTAAAAGTGTTCACTGGGGGGAGGGGGGTGGTGGGGTGGTGATATCGTGTGTGTTTGGATTTTCGTATTTGGGGGCATGCGACGGATACGGGTCACTTCGGGCCTACTGCGGCGAAGGGGGAGTCTCATCACGTAATGAGTCATTTTTATGTATGACCGATGAGCTACAATGACGCTAAAGTAATGTGAGCAGTACTCAGTTACAGTCGTTTCTGAGTGATCAGTTTCTTCGAGTGAAATGATCTCACTTTCGCAGATTCCTGTGGGTCACGCCTGCTCAACTGCTCCTATATCTCGCCTCCGGTTGTTTCGTCCCGAACGCCATGTCCATACCGGAGTACTGGGTTCACCCGACTCTCACGAATGCAAACCTGACGTCCGAGCCGGTTCTGGTCCTTTCGGCGTGTGGGAAATGGGCTGCCGAAGAAGCTATGGAATCGCTCCGATCCGTCGTCCTCTTCACCCAGGTGCCGTTCCGATGCATCGTCGTCGCGGACCGGAGCGCCACCAAGGTGCTGAAGCATCTTCGCGGAACCATGCCCCCCCACGTCCGATTCGAGATTATGGACCTCACAATGCACCTCCCTTGGTGGGAGCGTTCCTATGTGGAGAAGCTTCAGCACGAATCCTGCACGCGGCAAAGGCTCTACCTCCCCGACATGCTGCCCGACGTCCACTTCGCGCTTTACGTGGACACGGACACGCTGTTCTTCGCAGGCCTCGAGGAGGTCTGGAAGGATTTCAACCGCCTTGAGGCCTCCCACTTGATGAGCCTCACTTTGGAGCACGAGACCACCTCCCAACACTCTGCCTACCAGAACTGGCGGCGCATCCCCTTCTACGGGCAGACCGGCGTACAGGCAGGGATCACATTCCTGAACTTGGACAAGATGAGGAGCGCTGGGTGGGTCAACGAAGTGCAGGAGATCCTGCGCGAGTATAACGCGTTCCTCCAGTTAGTGGAACAGGATGTGATCAACATCTACGGTCACCGTCACCCCGAGGCCTTCAATATCGTAGACTGTCGATGGAATTACAGGTAAGTAGCAGACTTAATCGAATTGCAATGACCGCGATAGTGTTGACGCAACCCCGTAGGAGAGCCATAACGAGTCACAGATCGTGTCAATAATGATAAACGGGTATATCAGATCAATCACGGTTGGGAAAGCCGGTAGAGAAGGGTGTCGACAGAATCTATCAGCGCTAACCAATGAAAGCAAGTATAATGGAGTGATCGCAAACTCCACGCGTATGCAGAAAGGAAATGACAGAACTTGGGGATCGTTCTCGGTGGTACTGTCTTGTGTTTCATAATATTACCACTTGTCTTTTCTCAAGTGAATGTCATGAGTAGACCTCCATACCGCGCAGCCACTTGCGGTGTTGAAGATTACACTTTGGCCCCATGGAGGGTAACTGCAAACAATTGAATCATAACCCTCGTGGAATTATATTTCTTTTGACACGAAACTACTCTTCTAGTCCAAAACTGACAAAAGTTATTACAAATTCCGATCTTGTTGGCTCGGGGGTCCGGGGACCCATAGGCCTGATGAGAAAGGGTCTATTGAAAGTTTTGAGGGTCCCAAGGAAGCACGATGAAATCTCGTAATGGTTTCAGACTTTTCATCTGGCATATCAATTTCAGCAACAAATCTGGCAAAAGCAGATGCCGTTTTTATGTATCTCACATAGATGGCAAGTTTTTTTTTTTTTACCGTGATATCACATCTCTCATCCAGTAATACCCCGATGAATGGCGAATACTTCATTTCCGTATTAACACTGTTCGTGTTGTCTGTATCGATGGCATCTTACATCTCTTCAACAGCTTCATGATGCTTGTGTGCGGAGTTTTCCTTCTGTAAAGAAATAGAAGATAACTAAATATAAGTGTAGGTTATAAAGAGATTTTCATGAAGTTCGTGTGATTCCAGAAAGGCAAATCACACTCTTGAGGGTCACAAACCGCAAAGAAGAAAACTTGATCGTGGCAACATTTTTCTTTGCCGGCCAGCAGGTTCTTCTCGCCGTGACAAGGTCATCATTGAGTCTTCAAGGGCATGCTCTGCGGCCATTGTGAATATTCCTTGTGGAGCTGACTTTTGCAAATTGCAGCTGCCAGGTCCTGTGGAGGGATTTTTCTTCTTTGCATCTGAGCAGAAATCACCGAAAGGTCTTCCATCTCTGCTGGAAAGCCAGGGGTAGAAGTTGCCCCACTCCGTTTTCCATTTCCTATCTTTTCTCTTTCGTTGTGAATCGTGGCTAGCATGCTGCACGAGTTACTCATCATCGCCCACATCCGTCTCTTTCCTTTCGCTTTGGACTAGGCGAAGGTCTAAGGCAATTTCCGCCTTTCCGAGCATCATAAGAGGAACTAAGATGTGGCATTCGTTCAGGCCTAGGCTGTTCCTACCTTGTTTCTGTGACACTATGCTAATGTTCAGAACACCTAAAGGTATGCCAACGTGTAATTCGAAAATAAAAACTAATATAGTTCACTTTCCGCTTAAAACCGAAGGAAAAGTGTAGCTCCGGATATGCCTCAGGCCATAATTGAAAGAAACATAAGTACGTCAATGAGCACATGAACACAATGCAACTTTTATGCGCTCACCGTCTCAGTGCTACGGAGGCGGAGAAATTGCTAACAGGGTCACTTACACACGTCGGTTATTTAGGCAGGGTTTAAAATAGGCAGCTGCCAACTGGTCTGGGAAAACAGAAATTCTGGCTTTCCAAACACCGTGTATATCGCGTCCAAGTGAGTCCACCAGATGGAGGATGCCATCCTTGAGAATGGAGGTGTTAAAGGATGCATCCGCAACACCTCCCAGGCGTCGATTGCTTCAGTTGAGTTCGGGCGACTGGATTTGCTGCTCTTTCACTCGCTTTTTTTTATAACCATGGAAACATTCAGGAATAAATAAATAAAAACGCTGTCCGTGGACATCCGTGAAGCTGTAAGGAAGTGTCGAGTCGGCGGTATGCTCCTTCTTAGTGCTAAAGATTTCAAGTGGGGTCATCGAAGCATAAAACTAAGGCAAAATTTAATGCATTAAACTTTAAAAAATGAGCAATCTATATTAACGCATTGCGTAGCGAATATTTTACTTCGTCGATCCGCCGCTCCAACCTAAGCCTCAGTTTCCTTAGCCTAAAGATCGAAGCCTACAAGGCCATGACTTTTACAGCCATAGGCTAGGCAAAAGGGCTCACGAAAGAATTAATTAACGGAGACCGTGATCGGTACGCGAAGCATGAAAATCTCTGCTAAAGTAATTTTAAATCCACCGCTAATAGAGGTTCAACTGACATTAGCACAATGTTAGTGTTTTACGGAAGCAACACTAATCACAGGCGGAGATTCAGCCATCTGGAATGTGACGATGTTTGCGGCTGTGCTTCAGCCAGAACGTTCCAGATAGGATGCCAAACTGGAATGAGATTCATCAGAGAATCATCAGCTGGCTGTTCCTGGTCAAGTCGTTCACCCTCTTTTGGAGCTGTTGAACGGCAGCGCTCTCCACGACTTATTTTCTAGCTGAATCGCCATCAGAAAAAAAATTATTTTCGTTCGTCCAAAACATTATTATATTAATTCAATACAGGATGGTTCGCATTAATCAGTTATTTTTCTAGAGGCTGTATGTTTGCTCAAAGTGGAGCGAACTCTGCGCATTACACATAAACAAAGGTGCAGAAGTCTTTGCCCCCAGTATTTTTTTAAAAGTATTTCTCTGGGTGGATGGGATGAATATGAAAACCAATTTTATTCACTGATAAGGCATGGGACAAGGTAAAAATTATAACAATTAATAGTTGATCCTCTTGGCCTTCGAGTCGATGAAAGCGGAACATCGCGCTTGGAAAAACCTTGATTTGAGATTTGATGCAAAGTTTAGATTTGGGAGGAGTCTATCACTGGATTACACTGAGGGAAGAATACTTATAACGAAAGGAATCCCGTTGTTCTTTGTTCACTTGGTGGAGATTAAGAGATTAAGAAATGATCTCGTGAATCCCTTCAGACCTTTACACTGCCCTCTTTCCCCCCATCAGATCAGAGCACTGCCGAGTTGAAGACAACCGCTGCCCTTCGGCCGAACAGAAGGGAATAGGCATCTTGCACCGCAAAGGAAACGCCCGCAGGAAGCTAGAATACCAAGAGATTTCGACAGCGGCGAGAATATTCCAGGAATGGGACCCGAGAGAGCGGGATGCCTCCGCAACGGCATCCGAGATGGAGCGACAGCTGGCCCGTCTCGCCAACTGCCCACGCCGCACCTGCGACCCCACTGGGCTCAACATCTTCTCCAAGGCCCTCCAGACAAACATCTCGCACGTCACCCACGTGTCTCCCAAGTCCGTATGTGCACTGCCTAGCGACCCTGAACGAAAGGTTATGTAGGAAAATACGAAGTGGAAACGCTGAGCTCGTTTCGGAAGAGAAAGTTTCGCTTGTCTTACAGTTTTTCCCTATTGCTAGAGTCCTATTTCATATCTTGATGGACATTTTTCAAAACTTAACGTACGATCCGCAAAACTCTTTTTTCTCATATCCATGCGTCCGACGGTCAAAAGTGCGTCCCTTTATCAAAATCAAAGTACGCTCTTCAATATTCTAACGTACTGAGTAAGGAATGTCTATAGACAGTCAAGGAGAGACCGTGAAAGTAATTCGTCTGAAGATTCTGCTAATCTCAATATGCATTCCCGCTACGATATCTCTTTAGGGGCTCGGAATAGAAGCAGAAAGAGTCCCTTTGGCCGGTTTCTCTTATTTTTTAGACTCAAATTAACGTCATGCGGTAAAATGCATAGTTCGGGACCTTTAATATTCCTTCTTGTCATAGATTTCTCGCTTACGTATCATACAGAGAGAAAATAAAAAGACGATAATGTGTGACCGAGGGAAAAACTCCAACTCTCCTGAACCATGAAGATGTAATTACATGTGTATGTCACTGCTTCTAATATGGAAATGAAAAGAAATCCAATATAACGAATTTTAAGCCCCAGTATACGCTATTTATAATGATAGGTTTCACATTGAAGAAACTTTTTTTCGTAGGGTCACGAAGACTTCTGGAATTCAGACATTGGAATCCAATCTTTTTTTCGAGCTTAATATTTCAAGTATTTTCACGATCCGCTTCAATTTCACCATTGAGACTCCACGTCGGACGTACGGGATCGAGAAAACTATCTGCGATTTCTCGTTGAACCATGACTTTCAAAACTTAAGGTACCTTCGGCAAAACTCTGAGGACGATCCATTACTGTTCATGGGAAGGCGACGAGTCGATCGATTACTTTTTGAGGCAAGGGCGTGAAGTTTTGACGCGAGTGCCTTTAATTCGTTCTGAAGGACACCGGCAATGTGTTCTAATGGAAAATATGTTTTGGTGAAGGACGTTTGGCACGTATGTCGTATGACAATTTAAAGGCCGATGATGTGTTCGTCCCAATACACTGATGTCGTTTCTCTGTGATATTTGTTGTTCGTAAAATATTTTTACAGTTTTGCGGATCGTACAATGAGGACATCTCCTCTTGTCCTCAACTTCTACTCTGACAACTTATGCAATCTAGGCTCGGTTGTTGAGTGGATGTGTATACGGCCGGTGCTTCAACAGTGATCAACCAAGATCAAACCAGCATAGGTTTACTCCTGTAAGAACCAAACCGCCCAATGAGATTATTTCGCGTGAGATATATGGACGAAGTGCTGCTTGGAAGCACACAAACTCCCCCCCCCATACTCTTCCCCTCTCGCTTTTGTTGAACGGGAAATTGCACATTTCTGCTCCACAACTGATCGCGATTTCTGCCGGTCGAGCCCATTACTATCTTCCCACACCCTAACAAGGTCAGACTGTTATTTTGAGAAGTCACTTGACTTGTGCCATCATTCAAACGGGTGCAGGGCGTTGTATCCGGTCGAAAACCCCTCAACGAGCCAATAGAGCGAGCATAAGTTGGAAAGATTTCGAGATCATGACATGAGATTTTCGCAGTGAAGACGATCCACGAACAAAAATGGGTCCCAACGTCGTAACAATTTTGTAACCAATGATGAACAAAAATGACCATAAAATGACCTCTTTTCTCTCTTTTCAACCCTTTTTAGCTGATTATATTTTAACAGAAATTAATCGTAGGTAAATACTCAGGATCAGGTATTTTGGAATTTTCTGAATAGCAGTCGGCATTATTGCCTGCCAACTACAGTGCTCTATCGACGTAAGAAAACCATTTCAACGTTTGAGAAGGAGCATTCAGCTCTGACGACTCTGAGAAAGCCTCTGTGATTTGCTGGAATTTTGGAGGATAGAGATCGCCGTCGTCATCCATCGTCCGCACTCGTCGAATCGGTCTTCTTATCCTAGTTTTGGGATTTGTTCAAATAATTTTGAAAACGGAAGTATAGTTTCGAGAAACGGACGTTAGCAATTGGGAAAAACTGTAAGGCCCTGTTTACGGAAATATTTGTTTACTTCTTTTTTTTTACAGTCGTCGGTGCCGTTAAACGTTGAACAGCTTTCGCCAGATGTTCACAGACTTTTTGATGGAGTGCAACTTCCGTTTTAGCAATATTCCCCTTCACAGTGATAAATTATGAATAAAGCTTTACATTGCAAATTTTGTCATCGCAACGCCAAGTTTCGAAACGTTTTCTCGCACATCCATAACTTTCTCCTGTTATCAACTAATTTTTTTACGACCCATCTTTACCTTTAAAAGCCAAGGAGGCAAAAGCAGCTGCATTCTCCTCCATCCACGTCCACATTCCGTGACCGCAATTGGCTGAGGGAGAAGGAAGGTGCAGGCAAGGATGGCAGATGAAGGATGGCCTTAATATTTTCCCTAATGAAAAAACCCAACTGTTAATGGTCTATCGTGCTGCTCTTTTGGCATTCTGTACATTTTAAAAGGAATGAGTCAGGCTTCAATGGAACACCATGTTTCCCGTCTCAAAAATTTGCTTTAAGAATGTTAATCCCTTACATATGCCCTTCCAAACGCGATTTTGTTGAGACATGTTCTTAACATCGTATCAGCGCACAGGGCCTTTAACCGAGATACACCGAGCTGGAACGCCATTTTGCCCAACGTTTCTTAATCTCTTCATACAAGCACTGTCAGACCCTCCAAGCAGTCCCCCCCCCCCCCCCCCAAACAAAAACAAACAAACATGTTATGAGCTGGAAGAAAGAAACAAAACAATTCTACAAAGTATTCACTAGGTATTGCAAAAAACACGTGTCAGACTTGGGCGGCTCATTTTTTTAAGTCCGGTTTCCAGGTTATAACAGAAAATGGGCTTAACAAATAATGCATGCCCTAAGAGTTACTAATTTGACTATCACTTGGCTATGAAAATAACGGTTCTTTAACCCTTTCAATGCTGAGCTATTTTTTAAGCAGTACTCCCTATGCAAGTATATTTCAGGCGGTCTTCTGTTTTAAGGAAGGTAGTACTAATTTTTAATTATGCACATTCCCTTTAATAGTGAAGATAGTAAAATTAGTCAGTCATGCATTTATCTGACTTCAATTCGTTAACACTGTACTATGGACTAAGAACGGTACGTACTAGAAGTGGCGGACGTGCATATACGTCAATAGCGTTGAAAGGGTTGATCGGTAGAATCGCATCGAAATCTGAATCCGTCAATTTTTTTTTACTCTTCAATGACAATTTTGAACTCCCACCGTCGGGAGAGAAGAACTGTAAGCGAGATCCCTCACAGATGTACCATCTCTAAAATCCGATTTTACAGGCTTACTGATGCGATGTCCTGAAATCGAATGTCACGGTGATTGAGATCGGAACTAGAGGAAGAAGACCTTCTGACGATTGTCCATCAGATCACAAATGAAGCATATAACATGCTTAGCAACTCGAGACTCCATGACGGGCAGATTTGAAACGCCTCGAACGTGCTCGATATTCACTTTCCTGCTTCTGCACGGTGCCACCGGTACCAGACTCCATTGATTTCGACTCGTTCGATTGATTTCGACTCGATCGATTGATTTAAACTCGATCGATTGATTTCGACTCGATCGATTGATTTAAACTCGATCGATTGATTTCGACTCGATCGATTGTGTGCTACGAAGCCAATCGTCCGGATGAGTGCCTCACGCCCGTGAATCCATGCCGTTCCCGGTGAGGAGAACTTTTTCGAGGAGAGGAAGCTATAGCAGGTTCTTCGCTTCGGTTCAGGAGAGATTGAGATATTTCAGGTGAGGTCTAGGGTAATCGCGACGGAAATCCACGAGTCATGTCCAGGGAGTCCGATCTTACCTTCACGTGCAATTTCTATTCCGCGAATCCCTGACAGATGTTGACCCGGAATGCTAGCAATTCATCACCATCAGTTCATCACCATCAATTCATCGAAGCGCTGATGGGCGTGTACGCGGGAAAATCGACAGTTGGTGGAATTTAGTGCTAGTTCGCGTGAAAGGCTCCAACAAAGTTCGCACAGATTCCAGATGCATTCGCAGAAAGTCCATCTAAATACAGTATTGTATCTTTTAAAAGTATACTCACGTTCGTATGGCCAAAACTACGATCTATCATGGCACAGGCTTGAAGGCCTAACTCGCGAGGCCATATGCTCTCACAAGACACTTTTGAAGAATCGAAAGTATGCGAGAAATGAGAAATGAGGACTAGAAATGAGGACTGAGAAAGAGACCGGTCGTCGTTCGGATAGCTTTCAGGCCCGGCAGTCACATCAAGTGAGCTTATCGTTGAATTCTGCGCATGCCATCGTGAGGGTGCAGAATCAGTCAACTGAGTCTTCATGATGATCACCAATATTATCATGAACCCGTTAGCTTTGATTTTGATTCATGTCGGCCAAAAGAATAATAACCCATTTGCATCCTAGAAACTTTCGGCCTATCCGGCCCAGAATTTTCCCCGCCTTTGCCTGACGCGCGAGAGTTTGCACGCCAATGCCAATCTATGCCAGAGCCCAGGGGGAAGAACATTGGTGGATGCCGATGAGTTAAGTACTGATTATAATGTTGTGAGATTGTTTTTCAAGTTTGAACGTTTTAGTGTTACCGCGTTAATTATATGCTGTAGGGGACGTAGTTGGATTCGGTTCAAAGTCATTAGCATCTTCAAGTTGAATAATCTCGTTTTTCGAAGATACCTGCGGGTCACACTCGCTCCTCTGCTGTTATGTCTTGCGTCCGGCCTCTCCGTCCACTACATCGTGTTCTTGCCGGACTACTGGGTGCACCCGACTCTCATGGAGGCGAACCTGACGTCCGAGCCGGTTCTGGTCATTACGGCATGTGGGAAATGGGCTGCCGAAGAGGCATTGCAGTCGCTCCGATCAGTCGTTCTCTTCACCCAGGTGCCGTTCCGATGCATCGTCGTCGCAGACTGGAGTGCCACCAAGGTGTTGCAGCACTTACGCGGAAACATGCCGCCTCACGTCCGATTCGAGATTATGGGCCTCCATAAGCGCCTTCCATGGAGCCAAAATCCCTATTTACACAAGCTTCAGCACGAACCTTGCAAGTGGCTAAGGCTCTACCTCCCCGACATGCTGCCCGACGTCCACTTCGCGCTTTACGTGGACACAGACACGCTGTTCTTCGTAGGCCTCGAGGAGGTCTGGAAGGATCTCAACCGCCTTGAGTCCTCCCACCTAATGAGCATCACATTGGAGCACGAAATCACCTCTGAACACCCTGCCTACCAGGACCAGAGGCGTGTCCCCTTCTACGGGCAGACTGGAGTACAAGCGGGGGTCACGTTCTTGGACCTGGAGAAGATGAGGAGTGTTGGGTGGGTCAATGAGGTGCAAGAGATTCTATACAAATATCACGCGATCCTCAAGTTTGGGGATCAAGACGTTATCAACATTTACGGTCATCGTCACCCCAAGGCCTTCAATATCGTAGCATGCCGATGGAATTACAGGCAAGTTGAACAAATTTGTTTTCAAGCGGCATACACATAGGTGCTAGTGATGTGAGTCTCACGACGAGCCATAAAGAGGCACAGAACGTCCCCGAAATGAGCATACTCGAGGTCGACTTAGTTGGGAACTCTGATAGGAATGTTTCTCTTACCGAAGCTAGCAGCGTTATTCTAGCAGATTGTGAATAATGGGCGCATCACACGCCACTCGGATGTGAAGGAAAAAAATCCGAGGAATTATAAATTTTACTTTGCAGTACATTTCTCGGGTTTTTTTTAAATTTAATTATATCACTCTTACTGACTTGATGGAGTTAGGGACTATTAATAGAGTCACCGTTCAAAGAAGTTTTATCTCAGGAAATTCAAGGCCCAATCGTGAGCTGTAACAACCCGTTCATACTCCCAAGATAAAATTTTCAGGCGAGACCAATCTGCTTTTGTGCTGCAGGATAAAAGCTTCCCGTCCCAATGACATTCCTAGTGGGAAACAGCTTAGTAACATAACTGTGCTTCAGCTGACATTTGAAACTAGGGTTTCAAATCCATCAACTTTCTGGTTTCGGTTTCTACGAGATGTAAGCATGTTGAGAGGCCGCAATTTATAGAGCCATTTCCAGTTCAAGTGCAGTTTGCTAAAATGACATATTTTATTAAATAATCACTTTGCCCACGCCATGAGTTCATTGATTTAATTTTTACTTTTTTACATGCGTGGAAATTAACTGCCACATCCTGACTCGACATTAACTCATGGATAATGGATTGACCTTCGAGAATGAAACATTGACCTTGATCTTACTCATTGGCTCTTGAGGAGACGTTGTTGAAGATGAGAATATGTTGAGTTGCTTATATTTTAAAGGAATTCACTTGTACTTAAATTTTAAACATTAATTGGATTTTTCGTGATTGTGACATTCATGACTTGGCTTCTACCGACCAGGAGTTGCAATAAGACGTAGACACATAATATGGGAAATAGCCTATCAATTAATTACATTGTATGAAGGATATCAGCAATTCAAAGAAGACAGATGCTCATTTTCTTCTAGGATGGAAAGAGAGAAATCTTGCTGTTTTGACTCCCCTCAGACCTTTCTCATTCCCTATTTTTTCCCACACCAGGTCTGAGCACTGCCAAGCGAAAGAAAATAGCTGCCCTCCAGCTGAACGGAATGGGATAGGAATCTTGCACGGGGCAGGAAATGCATTCAACAACTTCCAATACCCAGAGATTTCAACAGCGGCCAAGGTATTCCAGGAATGGGACCCGAGAGAGCGGAACGCCTCGGCGATGGCACGCGAGATGGAGCGACGGCTGGCCCGTCTCGCCAACTGCCCACGCCGCACCTGCGACCCCCAAAGACTCCACATCTTCTCCAAGGCTCTCCAGATGAACGTCCCGCTCGTAACCCACGTGGTTCCTAAGTTCGTGTGTCCTCAGAATATTGACTCTTGGTGAGAGTTCAAGTACGACTCCTGGCGAGTAAAATGTAATATGGAAATGCTCAGCGCTGGGCTTTGTGTTTGAGGTGGAGTGGCTTTCAGGCCCTGTTTGTGTCATTGTAGGTTTGCAGCCTTTTGCAGAAATCAGTGTCGCTCCAATGGCGAATCTGCAGAACTCATTCGGGGGAAGTGTTTCGATGCGATGCGGTATGGTCCTGCAGCATTGGTACCATGCAAACAGTACCTGTATTAGGCTAATTCATGTCAATGCAACTATGAAGTGCGATTGACCATGACCTTTGGCTCAAAGTTGCCAGAAAATAAGTTATGATGGTTTCAAGCGTATATATCGGATTTCATGGAAATAGGATCAGAATATAATACGTATCACTGTTTAATTTTGGTACCTTGGCACACCTTAAGGATTGGCAAAGCATAACACATGCAATAAGTTCGTTCCTAATTGAATTAATGATATGTTGAATATGTCGTTTGTCATTTTTCGCTATTCCTAATGCCATCAAAATGAAAGCAATATTGCTTTAAAAATTGTTAAAATTTTGCATTAATAAGCACCACCTACTTAGTGCCACACAGGCCAAAGTGCTCTACCAATCAAGACTTTACGGCAATCCAGTGTATGAGTTCATCTGTTGCGTATACCGAGATATTTCGTTCTCGCCATTTATATACATGACAGACAAATGTAGAGTAAAAACAAGAGTACCATACCTTCCATTTCTTCACGCTGAAGGAACTAAATGAATTGAAAGCGTGATAAACTTTTTTTAAATGCTTGATTTCAAAAGGGCAGTTCAGTTGCAGTTTCCATTCAGTTAACTGTAGTTAGGTTTTTCTTTCGAGAATATTCGAAATGTGCCAATTGAACCCCGGGTCAGCCCGCAGTTGCGAGGGTCTGTGTTGACTCCCAGTCCAATCTTAGACTTCAGTCTGACCAGAGTGTGACTATGGTCCCAACCAATTAGTATGTCTGAAGCCTCTCTTCTGTCATGGCGTCTGGAGAACTCGAATCAGACCCATCCTGAGGCGACTCTCTCTCGGGCAAGCCAATAAATACAATTTATATCTGTCTCGATTTCTTCTTCTGAGTTGAAATTGGTGATGCTTGGTTTTCCTTGTCATGTCACGGTGAAATGAGGAGGATACATTGCTTGCATTTGCCAATCGCAAATCGTCGCAATTGAGCACCCCGCATGCGATTAAGTCCGAAAGCGGCGACGTATGCAGCGGAGCACATGCCCAATGACGAACTGAACCACGAATATGACATGGATCTGTGGCTGGCGTCGAATTGAAACATTCGTTTTGATCAATAACGTACGAGTAAGTTAGAAATGGGTCAAGGAATAGTTGGACCACAATCTGACTGCAGCTGAACAGAAAAGAAAATGAAGCGATAGGAAACTGCAGTCTTACTATTGTCTAATTACAGTCAAACAGGAACTGGGGCATAATTTCAAAATCTCAGTCCGTTCACGGTCCAGTCGTAGTTCCGGTCGACTGCAACTGCAACTGAAGTGGGACCATCTTAGGACTATAGTTCAATTGCAACTGAACTGCCGCTTTAAAATCAACCAATGTGTACTTCACAGGACTCTTCACATTTAAAATAGGAACACGAAACGACGCAGTGAATTTTTACTTTTTGATCTTACTTTTTTTTTACTTTTTTGCTGGAAGTCAAATGACGTCTCTAAGAAAATTTTCTGAAGCAACTTTATTTCTATGGCGCGAGGATTCCCAAGCCCATTAACCAAGTGGTTTGACCATTACTAAGACTGAGCATTGGAAAGGAATGCCCTGAATATAGTTTTTATTTTGATGAAGGGAGCAAATGAGAGCTACAGAAGTAATTCAATTGGGGCGAACTTATTGCATGTTTTTTTTTGTTGTAGCAATCCAGGTGGCGTACAGTTGTGGCAAACTCAGGAGTTTCATCTTTACTAATTTACTAAAGCTGAAGGTACTTTCCTATTATCCAATATCCATGCTTGGAGCCGTCAGATCTTACTTCCTGTCAAGTTTCGAACAAAAAAGGTCATCATGAGTTTATATGGAATGGCCCTCTCATGAAGTCGGAGTTAGTCCCGAAGGCAGAAACCTCATTTAGGCTAGATAGAGGAGCATTTAGGTTGCAGAACACTTCTCCAGAGGAATCCATGGAATTTTGAAAGATCGTTAAACTTCAGCATCCGGTCCTCGTTTAATATCCTCATCTTCAAGTTGACAGAAAGCCCTTACCCCCGAGTGTTGGTCACATTCCCTTTGCCGCGGCCAAGTGAAGTTCGAAACAAATGTGTTTCGATTTCAATAAAACATAAATTGTCTATTCTTGGTTTTGGAAACGGAATTTTTCGGTTCGAACCTTCGGTCTCAAAATTCCCGTCGCATGTGAGGAAGATTATGCTGATCTTAATATCCAACCAAAACAATGGGGTCAAGCTCTACCACCGAACTGTCGAAACATTCCAGTATCCATTTTAATGATCCCATGTACCCATACAGCGTACCCACCACAATTCGGGATCCAGACACTGGAACCAGGTGACCCCCAACTTGTGGAAACGGAAACCCCGAGTCTTATAATGTCTCTTTGTAGAAAAAGGGACTAAAATTGAAGGAGCAAATCATGTTTTTACATGGCAATTTTTCATCTATACATCGTTTAAAATCGATACATGAATTAGAAGAGGAAAACTTTCTGAAAACCCATATTTGGACCAGTCACAGAGGTTTCTCCCGACTTCACGGACGCAACGGACCTCTCGAATGCCGAACGCACTTGGGAATGGGATAGCAGGGCGACGCGATGCATGTCACCTCCTTCAACTCGCACCTCCTCCGCCCGATGCATTCCACGCTTTCGCACGAACGCGCGCCTGAAGGAAAAACGGATGAATGAAGCGAAAGTCCTCGCTGAGGGTCCCGAGGACCGTCCGGGAGGATGACCCGGAAGCGACTGACTGGCTTACCCGCAGGGAGGCAGAAGGGCTTGAGGTGGCAGTGGATGTCAGAACTTCTGCAGATGGGGTGGACCATCGCGCAGGTCTCGCCATTGGCGCATTTCGTGTCGTTGCAAGTCAGCACTGCGGAAACAATTAAAATATGTCATATTTTTGCCTTCTGATTAACAAGTTCAATTAAGAGGCAGTGTCTGGTCCAGGAGGGATCTATACAACAAAGCTGCTTCATTTTCGCTTGCCTGCCCGGGAACTTCCATTTTGCTGATCGAATCCGAGCGAAACGGGCATCGACGGCTAAACGTAGGAAGTTCCACTTTTCGTTCTTGTCACATTGCGACTAAATCTGGGGAACTACGACGGATTTTCTTCTGCATATTTTTTGGTCTTCAGAGTCTCAGTTGGGAGCGCGCTGAATTAGAAACGTGGAAGAACCCTGGTGGTGAAGGCCGAACTCCAGTAGGGGATCCCCGGAGTAACGAGAATCAAACTTATTTGGCTCTCGTTAAGCAACCTCGACCTTGAGAGACCGCAGTCTCTCAAGGTTGAAGTAAATTTCGTCTATTGTGAGGCGAAAGTGGGATCGGACCGACGGCGGAGTAGGGGCTAGTTGGAATTCCATGAGGAAGGGCCATTCTTGAGCCTTGGGCATCTTGCCCCTTGAATACATTGGAATAATTGAATAAAATAAGTTTGAGTAAAGTAAATTGGAATGAAATAAATTCGAATAAATATATTAGCTTCGTATCGTACCGCGCGCACTCAGGGGGCGGAGATTCAATAGGGTGATGGATCACGAGCTTCCTGAATGATTACGTGGTGACTTCCGATGCAACCCTGCTGAAATAAACGAGCCTGTTGTAGCTACGACTGTAACAGTGATAAAAGTAGGCGAAAATTGGGCGGGATCTTGGGTTCGAGGGGGATGAAGGAAAAAGGAAAAAATGGGGTAAAGAGGGTTGAGGAAAAAAAAAGAGGGGTAAGATGGGGAAAGGAAGAGCAGGGATATGGTCCACCNTGTGGCTGGCGTCGAATTGTAACATTCGTTTTGATCAATAACGTACGAGTAAGTTAGAAATGGGTCAAGGAATAGTTGGACCACAATCTGACTGCAGCTGAACAGAAAAGAAAATGAAGCGATAGGACACTGCAGTCTTACTATTGTCTAATTACAGTCAAACAGGAACTGGGGCATAATTTCAAAATCTCAGTCCGTTCACGGTCCAGTCGTAGTTCCGGTCGACTGCAACTGCAACTGAAGTGGTACCATCTTAGGACTATAGTTCAATTGCAACTGAACTGCGGCTTTAAAATCAACCAATGTGTACTTCACAGGACTCTTCACATTTAAAATAGGAACACGAAACGACGCAGTGAATTTTTACTTTTTGATTTTACTTTTTTAAACTTTTTTGCTGGAAGTCAAATGACGTCTCTAAGTAAATTTTCTGAAGCAACTTTATTTCTATGGCGCGAGGATTCCCAAGCCCATTAACCAAGTGGTTTGACCATTACTAAGGCTGAGCATTGGAAAGGAATGCCCTGAATATAGTTTTTATTTTGATGAAGGGAGCAAATGAGAGCTACAGAAGTAATTCAATCGGGGCGAACTTATTGCATGTTTTTTTTTGTTGTAGCAATCCAGGTGATGTACAGTTGTGGCAAACTCAGGAGCTTCATCTTTACTAAACCTGAAGGTACTTTACTATTATCCAATATCCATGCTTGGAGCCGTCAGATCTTACTTCCTGTCAAGTTTCGAACAAAAAAGGTCATCATGAGTTTATATGGAATGGCCCTCTCATGAAGTCGGAGTTAGTCCCGAATGCAGAAACCTCATTTAGGCTAGATAGAGGAGCATTTAGGTTGCAGAACACTTCTCCAGAGGAATCCATGGAATTTTGAAGGATCGTTAAACTTCAGCATCCGGTCCTCGTTTAATATCCTCATCTTCAAGTTGACAGAAAGCCCTTACCCCCGAGTGTTGGTCACAGTCCCTTTGCCGCGGCCAAGTGAAGTTCGAAACAAATGTGTTTCGATTTCAATAAAACATAAATTGTCTATTCTTGGTTTTGGAAACGGAATTTTTCGGTTCGAACCTTCGGTCTCAAAATTCCGGTCGCATGTTAGGAAGATTATGCTGATCTTAATACGTAACCAAAGCCATGGGATCAAGCTCTACCACCGAACTGTCGAAACATTCCAGTATCCATTTTAATGATCCCATGTACCCATACAGCGTACCCACCACAATTCGGGATCCAGACACTGGAACCAGGTGACCCCCAACATGTGGAAACGGAAACCCCGAGTCTTATAATGTCTCTTTGTAGAAAAAGGGACTAAAATTGAAGGAGCAAATCATGTTTTTACATGGCAATTTTTCATCTGTACATCGTTCAAAATCGATACATGAATTAGAAGAGGAAAACTTTCTGAAAACCCATATTTGGACCAGTCACAGAGGTTTCTCCCGACTTCACGGACGCAACGGACCTCTCGAATGCCGAACGCACTTGGGAATGGGATAGCAGGGCGACGCGATGCAGGTCACCTCCTTCAACTCGCACCTCCTCCGCCCGATGCATTCCACGCTTTCGCACGAACGCGCGCCTGAAGGAAAAACGGATGAATGAAGCGAAAGTCCTCGCTGAGGGTCCCGAGGACCGTCCGGGAGGATGACCCGGAAGCGACTGACTGGCTTACCCGCAGGGAGGCAGAAGGGCTTGAGGTGGCAGTGGATGTCAGAACTTCTGCAGATGGGGTGGACCATCGCGCAGGTCTCGCCATTGGCGCATTTCGTGTCGTTGCAAGTCAGCACTGCGGAAACAATTAAAATATGTCATATTTTTGCCTTCTGATCTACAAGTTCAATTAAGAGGCAGTGTCTGGTCCAGGAGGGATCTATACAACAAAGCTGCTTCATTTTCGTTTACCTGTCCGGGAACTTCCATTTTGCTGATCGAATCCGAGCGAAACGGGCATCGACGGCTAAACGTAGGAAGTTCCACTTTTCGTTCTTGTCACATTGCGACTAAATCTGGGGAACTACGACGGATTTTCTTCTGCATATTTTTTGGTCTTCAGAGTCTCAGTTGGGAGCGCGCTGAATTAGAAACGTGGAAGAACCCTGGTGGTGAAGGCCGAACCCCAGTAGGGGATCCCCGGAGTAACGAGAATCAAACTTATTTGGCTCTCGTTAAGCAACCTCGACCTTGAGAGACCGCAGTCTCTCAAGGTTGAAGTAAATTACGTCTATTGTGAGGCGAAAGTGGGATCGGACCGACGGCGGAGTAGGGGCTAATTGGAATTCCATGAGGAAGGGCCATTCTTGAGCCTTGGGCATCTTGCCCCTTGAATACATTGGAATAATTGAATAAAGTAAGTTTGAGTAAAGTAAATTGGAATGAAATAAATTCGAATAAATATATTAGCTTCGTATCGTACCGCGCGCACTCAGGGGGCGGGGATTCAATAGGGTGATGGATCACGAGCTTCCTGAATGATTACGTGGTGACTTCCGATGCAACCCTGCTGAAATGACTATAAACGAGCCTGTTGTAGCTACGACTGTAACAGTGATAAAAGTAGGCAAAAATTGGGCGGGATCTTGGGTTCGAGGGGGATGAAGGAAAAAGGAAAAAATGGGGTAAAGAGGGTTGAGGAAAAAAAAAGAGGGGTAAGATGGGGAAAGGAAGAGCAGGGATATGGTCCACCCAATTTCCTTCAAATAGATACCGACAGAACGATGCCATTGCTCTTCGTGTCTTAATTTACCGGATGTGACCGGTTCAAGTCCCTGAAAATCACAATTAGCAGTAGAAACCCCTCCCCCCACAAAAAAAAGCAAGCAAAAGCCGCCGGTCGTCTGATTTGAAAAGAACCAATTCAGCGTTTTGAAGCAGGCGATGGGCAGAAATTGGATCAGGTGGATGCGATTGGCATATTTGACCTCACCGGGTGGCATGCAGATCTTGCGGTGGCAATTCTGGCAGCAGAGAAGGCCGTTCTGGCAGTCCGAGTCGCTGGAGCACGACGGGGGACACTGCATATCCTTGCGTTTCGGACATTGTTCGTTTCCTGAAAGATGTATTTATATATGCTCCTTATGATGCATCTACGACAAAAAAAAAGCCCAAGACCTCCCGCGACATAACACAGACGTGTCACATCTCGTGACATAACAAGACACGACAACCCGTCGAACAAGAAACCACTTCTTCGACCACAAATCCTCCATCAATCGACAATCCAGCCCCAAAACGAAGCCAAGCCGCCTCGCCCCCTACCGGCCCCGACGCACCCCTTGCCCCCATCGCACCCCTCGCAGCATCGGAACCCCTCCACGCAATCCGCATCCCCATCGCACACCCACTGCACCGTCGACCAGCAGCGCCGTCCCTCCAGCGGGCACGTCCCCGCAGCTGAGGGGGGGAAACCCGTTTTCTTCGTCATCCATATCTCATTTTATTACTGGGTGTCCCAAAAATTGGCATGCAGTGGATTCCAGTTTATTGGTACACTTAGTTCCAGGTCAATTTTCAAAATAAAGCGGCTGCCCCGATGATGCGAACTTACCTTCCATTACCTTAACGGTTCCGTTCCCGACAAAATGCCCTCATCAACCGGATGCCCTCATCAACCGGCTGCCCTCATCAACCGGCTGCCCTCATCAACCGGCTGCCCTCATCAACCGGCTGCCCTCATTAACTGATGGCCCAATAAAGCGGAATCCGCTGTATTAGCTATATTACATAGCTCCTCACTTCTTCGTTTGGTCCGATTACAATTCGGTGTCTCTCGTACACTCGATAATGATATTCATCAGGAAAATTTGGAATAATTAATTATTTGCAGTGGAGACTCACCATATGCGGATGCTAGGGAAACGAGGCCACCGAGAAGAATTTCCATCATTTTTGACGGGATTAGCGAGGCTTCCAGAGCTAGGGCACCAGTGGAGGAAAATTGACTTCTGTAATATGAAGTCCATTGGCATAGTAATGGGTATAATTGCACTCTTTAAGGTCAATAATTGGCAATTGACTTAACCATTCGGTACACAAAAACAGGGAAATGTTTAGGCCGTGGAAAGCGCGAAGACTCACCCGCGGAAAAGCAGGAAACCCGTCGAGGATCCGAAGAGAACTGCGGCGTGCGACGCTCCACGTTCCACGCACACAACGCACTCGCTGACGCTGCAGTTTCGAGCCGGAGCTGGCTGCCCGTCAGGCGAGCGTTGCACCGGAAAATCTGCTCCGCCGGAGCGAATATTCACGCCGTGAGGAAAACAGCGAAACTATTTTTCTGTTTCTAATATCCGCTTGTTCTACGACCGTCCGTTGCGTTCACCGGTTTCATTGGGGTTCTTGAGTCACTGGTCCATTCAAAACCGGAGGTTAGTTGGTGACACTAAATATTGACCACCCTGTAGTATTTGACCTACTGGCCCGATGAGACTGAAATGTGACATTTCCGGGCTGGCCAACTCGGTTTTCAAAATGTAATCGAATTCGGATGGTCGGCCGTTAATTAGCAACTTTATGGTTGACATTTCATGGAACGACCGATGCAGCCCACCGCATGCCGCAATCCCCACAGCACCATTAGACCTCTCACATTTATTGCATCACCTTGTTCTCGCAGTCGCCAGCTAGCAGAAACAATCCGCCGGGGACATCCGCAAAACGACGGCAATCACAGCCACTAAAGCCTGCGACCAGTCCTCCATTCAACGGGAAGCTTCGAAGCCCACCGCTCGGAAACTTCGAAGCCCACCGCTCGGAAGCTTCGAAGCCCACCGCTCGGAAGCTACACGCTGATTCTTCCCAAGCCGCTCTCGCGCATGCATCGACCAGGAATCGAACTTCGACTCTCGCGGCGACCTGTGAATTTGTATCAAAGAAGCAACCTTGCGTTCGGGTCTACGACTTACGAGCGGATCAGTCCAAACTCCTGAAGAAACCATCAACGTATGCCCGAAGAAACTCCTACCCTAAAAATTGGGCTTGCACCTCTAGTTCTATAAAACAATTTTCGTGTCACCATCGTTTAATTATTTTGTCACGGTTCGTCTGGAAGAAACCCCGTCCTGAAGCTTTTTCAAAAATTTCTTTTTTTCTTCTTCTAAAGACCGAAATCCAACACATTTTTTTTCCACGGCGAAATTGATCGCGTAACCTAACCTGTCACTTGTAAACGATCGATTGACCATCTTGCGAGAAATTATGCGGGAAAAACCTGGAGATTCCTTCAGTTCCGACTTCCGCACGGAAACGTGAAAGTCGACAGAAAACACGGTCGACAACAGGAAGAAATCGCTCGCGATGACCTTTCCCCCCCCCCCCTCCCCCCCCAAAAAAAATAAAAAATTATTGCATCGGCTGGAAGATGTGCAGGTCGCCCGCGCGCAGCTCGCGAGCCAGTCGATGAAATTTTCCTCCTGAAAAACGGTTTCTCGGTTGGAACTGAGAAGCCAATGTAAATGGCAGAAAGTGTGGAGGTGGAAGTGGAGCAAGCCTCCAAAGTTCACTTGTTTGATGTCATGATCCGAGTCTCGAACCAACACCGATGATGGTACTTTAAAATGAGTTGGCAAGAAAATTATGAGGTTTGAACGAAGCGGTTTCAACACATTCAGCGTTTTCCCTTATTTGCACTCATAAAGTACCTTGAACTATTTGATGCAAGTTAAGGAGACTGTAAGGAGTGAAGTCCTGAGGAACTTTTCATGCAAGTACTATTACAGTACCGCTTCAGTCGCAGGTGCTGCTGAGAGGAGTTGAGTTCAGTTGAGTCGAGATACGTTTCATCGTCCAGAGTAACTCAGTAATTCACGTGGAGTACCTTCAGCACTGGCAGAACTAGCTCGGTACTTTCCCAATCCGGAGGCAATTTTTCGGATGAAACAAAGGCATACCTGCATATATGGCCTAGCGGGTAAACGGAAAGAACTAGCTCGTACAAAAAAACGTCAGCAATGGGTCAGATGGAAGGAAAACCTTAACTTTCGCACCGACACGAGGAGAAAGAAACACGAGTAGCTAGCGGGATGGGGCAAAGCAGCGGAAGCCAGGGCTGGAGGCGAAAGCAGCTGCATCCGTCCGTCGCCTCTCGAGAACGTCAGCGAGAGCAATTTACGGAAAGAAGGCGCGCGCAAGGATGGGCGGAGGGAGACTGCTGCAGATTGGGCACTGCGCTCATGGAACTTGCATTTTCTTCGCGGGGAGTCATTCCTATTGTATAAGCCGCGTTCTGGCACACGAAAAACCCAGCTTGCCCAGCATACTGGGAATGATGAAAGTGTTCAGGCACAAAAATATACCTAGGGGGTCATTAGAGAGTAATAGAGAGAATATAGAGGAAGAATTGGAGACTACGTTTGCTAAGATTTTTGGCTTGGCAGCGATTTCATTTGCAAGCAGCTGTGACTTGTACTTTCAATTTGCGCACTCCGATTTATCGCTGTCTACGCTCATTAAAGAGAAAATACATGATGGGATGGTTATATCATTCGGTCCAAATTACTGCTCACAAAAGTCTGGACCGAAAACTTCCGAATGAGGAAGGATATCTTTGAGGTTAGTCGTTTCATCTCATTTCCGTATGTATTATACATTCCAATGAAGTTTGTGAAAATAGCCATTATTTAATATATGTAATATGTAATAATACATTCGTATAATGCTAGCTACTATATAGGTTTAATTCGTAACATATTCCTTCCACCACGCCGTTCATCACATTCAGTAGCCGAATAGCAGCTTGATTGTCCGGAATGGAGCCCAAACCACTGTAAAATTTCATTTTCTTTTTTCTTTTCTGGCACGTGCGCTGGTTTTTGTCGCGAACTTCGCGGTAGCTCTTCAGAAATTTCATTTTGTTTTGCACTGCTGCAGTCGAGCAGATCTAGTTTGATACACTTGGGCGCCACGAATTGTCCCATCAAACGTGTCCCGAATTTGTTCATTCTAGATTGAAATTAGGCGTTGAGTGTCGTCGTCATTCCAGACGGCCGCCATCACGAGAATAAGAGAAGATCACTCCGAAAAGTCGAAAATGGGAATGAACCCGGGGGTGTATGGGGTTCAGGCAAAACCAGTTTCCCAGCCTCCCGGGAAAAAAACCCAGCACATCGAACATCGAAATATAATATATAACAACATGGAAATATATAGTCATGGTGCGAGTCCGATAGAGCGCTCCGCTAGCCTCACTCGTGTCATTATGCCCTCGATGAGGGAAAAGAAGAATTAATGGGATTCGCGTCCACAGAAACACGGATTGATTTTCGCTTATAAAGGTATTATTTCCACCCAAGGACGAGTCAAAATATTTTGATGGGCGTCTGGCCCTTTCACATTCTCTCGGGGTAATTCACTCATTCAACTCGCCAGTCACTCCATGGACGAAGGACGAAGAAGAACGGGACGAACTGCTGCTGGGTGAGACGCCCAGATGTTGCCTGCATAACAAGTACTCATTTTTTCATGGTGTTTTTCATCATAAACGCGAAATACAAACTCATTGTCATAATTTCGTTCCAATTTTTGCACAGCTACTAGCGCGTCAGTATCTTTTGGCACAATCATCTGAGATTTGCAAGTTCCTCCGTTTTCTGCACACTGAGGATGAATGCGAAAGGCATTGATGCGAGAGACGATAAAACTTCTTCGTCCTGTTCAATATGCGAGTAGTTCCAACTATTCTTATGAAGTAATGGGAAAACCAATTTTCAATCGCTACCCCTTTCTGGCTGTGACTCCAGAAAGTCCCACTTTCTTGCGAGTTCAGTACATCCCCCAGAACAGTTAAGCCTATTCACTTGCTCGCGGCATTTTTAGAGCAGAACCAAAATTCAAAATAATTACATAGAGCACTAACCTATGATTGCTGCAGACTCGCACGAAGCACTGTCATAAACCGGTGACAACAGTACTGGTAACAGGACAAAACCGTAACACGTAAACATCCTTGCCGGCATTGGCCACAGCAACAACGTCCACAGCCAATGCAGCAGTACAAAGCCATTCTAATCGCCTAAATCAGGCACCTACGCCTGATAACGTCAAGACTCTTCACCCAGGAAGTCATGCGTCTTCCATTTACACCCATATTACCACTCAAATGGAGCACATCAAATGAAGAACTCGGAACTTACAGGAATCACATGGGGAAGGGGGTTGATGTCGAACCCAATTTCACCTACAATAGACTTTCCAATGAGCTTCGTCTTACAGTATTCTAAAGAGACACAACGATCGAATTTGATGCCGCCACGCTTTCGATCAATAATGGGGGGGGGGGCACGTTTCGTCATTAAGGGAACCCCAACCTCATTTAATCAAATTATCAGCGAGTTCTGTTCTGTTCTGTTCATGAGGAATATATACACGATGAGGAACGAGATCATATATCATATATCACGAGGTGGAACGAGAGTGTCCTGTGAGCCACATCCCGCGTCATCTCAGGCGGATATAAGGACATATATCCTCGCTAAAGTGACTGTGTGACCAGAAGAAGTGAGGAAAGGGAGGCCAACTGAACATCCTTCATGGCCATGGATGGCCATAGGGGGGGAGGGAATGGTGGAGAATAGGTAGTATGGAGGTATCTTCAAGAAATTTATCTTCATTTACACATGAATGCTTATCCCCTTAAGTGACTCCTCAACCCATTCGCATTGGGTGACTTTTTCGTCGCTCTCCCCCAGGCCTCTGCTACCTTCGCTTCACGCGCGACGCCACCAGGCCTATCCCTCTCTACGCCATAGGCTGGGCGGAAGGACACGGGAGGCTTGCATTCCCAAGTGTTTTGGCACTCATGGGAGCTTGCCGTTCATTTCCGTGGAAATGGCTGCAGACAAGTCAATATGCCACTTACATAAGACACTAAACTGCTTTTTTTTTCAAAGCAATCGTTGTATGCCATGGTTGCTTGTAACAGTTGCATGCCCGAAAATGACCTAATTGATTTAATTTGTCTTTCGTTTTCAATCCCAAAAAGGCACGGTCATCAATACTTGCATATTTTTATGTGTACTTAACCAAAGAAGTAAAATTCCGTCCAAAAAACATATATAAAAAAGCCAAAACCCATACAGGCGCTGGAAAACTGTTCATGAGGAATATATCCACGAGGACGGCCGTGAACGGCTTTCGACAAATTCTTCCTCATCGACCAAGTTAACCGATTAACCAAACCAATCAACTAAAACTAATCAGCCGATTACGGCGCAATATCGAATACAGTCCCCATTCTTCGGGAAAAAAAAATCCGATAACGCATCTCATCCCTTCCGATCGGCTTGAAATCCTCCAAGGAAACAGCGCATAATCCGTTTCGAACCGTGTGGAAATCGGCCCCAACGACCTCCATTCCCAGAGAATTCTCAGAAAACTCTCCTGCGTAGAATCCATTTTTTTCCCACCCTCTCCCCGTTTCCGAGAAGCCAGGAAAAAGTGGATGGCGTCATTCCCCCCCACCCATTCGCCTTGTCACCCTCGTTTAATTCCTATTTCACGGTTCGTCTGGAAGAAGCCCCGTCGTGAAGCTCTTTCAAAGTTTTTTTTTTTTCTTCATCTAGAGACCGAAATCCAACAGGCAATTTCTCCACGGCGAAATTGGCCGCCTAACATAACCTGTCACTCGTCAACAATCGATTGACCATCAGACGAGAATTTATGTACCTGGAGATTCCTTCAGTTCCGAAATCCGCACGAAAACGCGAAAGTCGACCGAAAACAAGGTCGACAAAAGGAAGAAAGAGGAACGCAAGAAACCGCTCGCGCTGACCGACTCTGCGAGTAAGATTCACCCAGCACACGAACAACCTCACCCGACCGTCGCCTTCCCTAGGCAGTTTTTCCGCGGCGAAATTGGCCGCCTAACATAACCTGTCACTCGTCAACGATCGATTGACCATCAGACGAGAATTTATGGACATGGAGATTCCTTCAGTTCCGAAATCCGCACGAGGTTGAATTCTGCGGCGGGAAGGGGTTGAAGAAAGGTAATAGGCGATACGAAAGCTTATTGATTAAATCTATCGTTAGCTATCGGCGCTCCATTACCTTGGATAGTGATTTATTCATTCATTTGTTGCGAAATGGGAAACACATATTTAAAGTACGTCCCCACTGAAATACGTGACATATTGGGTCAAAAGTATTGATTTTCATCAAACTCTTTACTTCTATGATTTTATGTGTGCCTAACTTTAAATCTTTTCTTATGCTTTTCCACCCATACTAAAAGTATGGGTGGAAATTTATGGGTGGAAAAACAAATTTATTCTCCACCCATACTTTTAGTATGGGTGGAGAATAAATTTTGAAATGGTTCCCCCCAATAATCTACGCTAAGGAGACATATTTCAAAAGTAGGATTTTCCATGTACTCAGCCATTAAATAGGTACTTCTGAGGGAAGTTTAAATTTTCAGTCTCTGTTTGGTTGGATAAAACATATTCAGGAATTGGGACTAAAAAAAAGAGCCCTGATGGGTTTTAATTTGGGTTAAACCCCTAATAAAATAAAAACCCTAATAGGGTTTAACCCCTAATGGGTTAAAAAAAATTTTCCTTCTAAAATAAAGACTCAGGGAACTCCATGCCATCCAGTTTCAGCCTCATACGTTTCCCCTTTTTGAATTAGCGTCAGTCAGTCACGATCGTCAATATATATTAGAAAAGTAGAATTATTTCTTTACGCAAATATCCATCAGGATTTGAAAAAGCCGACCCACCCAAACGCTATGCCAGGAGGGGATGAAAGCTGAATGCACCCTCAGCTCAGTAATATCATGTCACTTATACGTGTGCCAAGTTTCACCTTTCCATTTCTGTTCAATTCGCCACGACAATTTTTTTTTTCAAAAACATAGCACCTCGAAAAAATTCCCCCGGGGGATGTATGGAGACTTAACGTTTTCATATAACTCCTTCTCACAGAAGTCGCATTCATGCGATGTTTCAGCTTTCCATATTCATCAGTTTAACTGATGTGAAAAAATTAGTTGAAAACATCTCCCTTTGAATTTTGTGGCATCAGGGCATTTACTTCCAAAGTCTGAAGTTTTCTGCAGCATCCCAATAAGGTAGTTATGTGCCAAGTTTCATCTTTCCACACTAGCTCAACACGCCAGGACAAAAAAAAAATACTTGAAAACGTCGGCCCCAAAATATATCCCCCAGGGCATGGATCTAAAATGTTGCGTTTTTCCTGAACTCCGTCTCTGTAGGCAGCTCCATGCCTGGTTTCAGCTTTCCATGTCTCTCCGTTTAACTCAAGCAAAAATAATGTTATGGAGGGGGAATGAGTAACGGGACATGGAAGGCAAAAAAAGGCAAAATTTATTTTACCTTTTTCGCGCACAGGTCGCGAGCCAGTCGATGCAATTCACTCCTGAAAAACGGTTTTACGGTTGGAACTGAGAAACCAATGGAATGGTTTCCATTGGTTTCATCTCATCCCTTCCGATCAGCTTGAAATCCACCAAGAAAACAGCGCATAATCCGTTTCGAACCGTGTGGAAATCGGCCCCAACGACCTCCATTGCCGGAGAATTCACAGAAAACTCTTCCGAGTAAAATCCTTTTTTTTTCCCACCCTCTCCCCGTTTCCGAGAAGCCAGGAAGAAGTGGATGGCCTCATTCCCCCCACCCATTCGCCGTGTCACCCTCGTTTAATTCCTTCATCACGGTTTGTCTGGAAGAAGCCCTAAGGAAGGCCTAGCGGGTAAAGGGAAAGAACTAGCTCGTACAAAAAAAAGTCAGCAATGGGTCAGATGGAAGGAAAACTTCAACTTTCGCACCGACACGAGGGGAAAGAAACACGAGTAGCTAGCGGGATGGGGCATAGCAGCGGAAGCCAGGGCTGGAGGCGAAAGCAGCTGCATCCATCCGTCGCCTCTCGAGAACGTCAGCGAAAGCAATTGACGGAAAGAAGGCGCGCGCAAGGATGGGCGGAGGGAGACTGCTGCAGATTGGGCACTGCGCTCATGGAACTTGCATTTTCTTCGCGGGGAGTCATTCCTATTGTATAAGCCGCGTTCTGGCACACGAAAAACCCAGCTCGCCCGGCATACTGGGAATGATGAAAGTGTTCAGGCACAAAAATATACTCAGGGGGTGGTGAGGTCTTAATCCTAGCCGCATGGCGCAAATTCCATGCATATCACCTCGATTGCGAATATGCAGTCGGAGACCTGGAGTTCTGAAGCTCAACGACCGAAGCGGGAATTAGATCGACCCGGTCGGGTGCGGGTCGCGATTCGAATCGGGCCGATCGAGTTTCAACTCGGAAAAGTCGACCCAATAATTATCGGCTCCAAGTCTCAAGCCTTTGAATGAAAATCTGCTCATCCGTCTAGGAGTTTCCCGGAACGACAAATCAGCCTCCTATGTATTTAGGAGCGAACCCGAAGGAAATCCACGACTTCGTCGGTGGCAATTGACGAGACAAACACTGCGCCTCGCAACTTCCGACAGAATATGGAAGTGTGTGCTATTTTTGGATATTAAGTTTATTCATTACATTTGCGGTATTTTATCGAATCATTACATTTTTACGAGAAAAAAAGTTCCCGCTGAGCGCCCCACAAGATATGAAGTTTGTCGAGAATTGGCGCGGTTCCAGTAATTCGCATTGGCGCCATGGAAACATTTCCAAATGAGCATATAGAGAAAACAATTTGAAAGGAGCTGCACATCATCCCTTTATTCCTCATTCCGGGACACAGAAGGGGCGAGGGTAGCAGGGAGTCGTGATGCACACCACCTCCTGCATGATGCACGTGTAACCCGGCAGACAGTCCACGTTGTCGCACGTCAGGGCGTCTGCGAGCGAACGAGAGATCAGAGATGAGTCAAACATGATTGATGCCGGGGCACGAAAAGCATGTTAATAAGGGCTCTGCATCGCCCGTGCGTGTGCCTCTGCCTATTTTCAGTCTGAAATTTTTTCCTCGGTTTTCTCCTTCTCGGTCCATCATCGGACAGCAACTTAACTGAATTCCGAACAACGGCAGACTGAAGCCTCTGCGAGTTGCCAGCACGCAGCCGAGGGCTGAAAGGAAATTCCAGGGAGTCACCCCCACCCAAGCACCAATTTACCAAATGCAATGGTACATCACCGTATGTTCTTCATTTCGGCTAAAGATTCCTGGCCTTTTCTTCTGAACCAGCTTCTTTACTACAATAATATTACTGAACAACCCCTGTATTTTAAACAATTTAAATGCCTTCTCACTCTCTTTCCTCCAATATCAGATCGAACATCTCCACCCTGAAACTGGTTAAAGCTGTGAATTCACCATCAGGGATGCAGAGAGGCCGGTCGGGGCATTCACCAAGCGGCAGGCCGCACAGGGTGTGAGCCATCACGCACTGCTCCTCCTCCGGGCAATCGACGTCCTCGCAGGTCGGCTCTGCGGAACATCCGACATTCACAGCGGGATGAAATTGGATGGCGCGGAGTGGCTCACCCGGCTCGGTGCAAATTGGTGGCTCACCCGGTTCGGTGCAGCGAAGGTAGCCGCATCCGTTGATGCAGCAGAGGAGGCCGTCGGGGCAGTCGTCGTCGTCGACGCAGTCGGGCGTGCAGATCCCGACCTCTGGGTCCGGGCATCTCCCTCTCTCGACTGCGCATCGAATCGAGACGGGTCGACATTCACTTGATGGGGTACTTCTGTTTTTTTTTTTGGTATTTGTTCAGTGGCTATGAGGCAGGCATTTTTAATATGCCAGGTCCGACTTTTCCCCTAATTCTCAAACTGCAAACCGATCGAATGACGTCTCCGAACAAGAAAAGTTGACGTTTTTAAGTTTAAAAGAAAAAATAAAGAAAACCTCCTTTGACCCTTGAATATTCCTCTTGCTGGGCGAGCGATTCCACCGCCCCACGAACACTGACCAACATGCTAGGTCACTTTTGCATATGCGAGGGGTCCTAAAGCTCCTACCGAGCGGAAAAAGAATTTCCGGAGATTTCCTTTTTTTTTTTGTCCAGTGAGGGTATGGACCCTCTTCCTAAAGCTACTTGAAGCCAGGCATTCACAACCCGAAGAGTAAAATACTAAAGGGACTTTCGCAAATTCAGGGAGTTCCAATTCGACCTGCCAAAACCATCGAGATGGAAACAACTACCGCGCTTTAGGCATGCCAAGTGACTCAGTGAAACTTACTCCGATTGCCCTATTCTGAGCAATTTTTCGACCATCGTCGACTACATGACCATGTCTGAATATTCAGCTATTACGGACCGCGCGCCTCCCTCAACGTTTCGTGGACTCACGCGCGGAAGCCAGAGATGCGAGGAGGGAGAAGGCGAGGAGGAATCCGAGAAATCGCTTCATCGTTCTTCCACGTCCGCTTCGATGTCGAGGATGTGGAACGATCTTGTTGACGGATGTCATCTGAAGCACATATGACGGCATTCTCACGGGGTTTTTTTTTCTTATCTTCATCTGTTCCCATCATTATTGGCATATTGATTTTCGAGCGCAGGGTATCTACAGCCAAACTGCCCTCATCACGCTAACAAATTAGATAATGAAGTACCAACAATTATCCTAAATAGTCTAATAGATGTCAATGACCTGAAGATACGCCCATCAATCAGAATTGCTTGTAAACGGCGGATGAATACTTACAATTGCTACTTCCCAACCCCTTTGAAGCTGCTCTTAACATGTTATTGCTATTTACACATACGTTTGCCCCTGCATATAAGATCACGATTGCAAGATGCAGAGTTCAATCATGCCCATGGCACCACCTGTCACAGGCTCACGCGAGCAGCTGCACGTGTGCTCCAGCGGCTTATCACGTATCCGGCATCTGTTTTTTACGTCTACAGTACTCTTGAGACCGGACAGCATTTCGCAACTTGGGATCGACAGAGATCGCCGAGGATGATCGCAAGACTTCTCTTCGCACTCGCCTCCCTGGCGTCCACTCGTGAGTCTGCGCCGCAGGGTACTAATCATCCAAGCGAGCTTCCGTTTACGAATAAGACTCCAGGGAAGTTTTTCCTGCAGTCGAAGCCGGAGAATGCCCAATACCCCAGGGACCAGGATTGTGCTGGGAGCTGTGCAGCAGCGATGCGGATTGCTCGGAAGGCCTCCTCTGCTGCTCCAACGGATGCGGCCACGAATGCATGCCACCCCGTAAGGTCAACGGCCCTGCCGTTCCGTAAATTCGCTCAATGGTAAACTGTAGATTGCTTTTAAATGCAGGTGATTGAATCGGCGGTTTTTTCACTCCTTTAGTCTCGTTTTCAGACTAAAGACGATGGCGATATTTTGAGACGTTTTCTCAGAATATCCCAAGATCTAAACATCTGGACGTTTTTTTCGTTATTTGTTCCACATGTCCCCCTTCCCAATAAACCGCTGTTCCGACAGACTACTTTAAAGAATTGATATACAATTTTGCTTAGTGTGGACTCAGAGATCATCTTGTATGCTTCCTCCATAGAGCTGACATGCTCAGACGTGGACTGCCCCGAGGACTGTGTCATGGGTCACACTATCTGCGGTCGTCCCCCCGGCGAATGTCCTCTCATGCCATACTGCATGCCCTATGGTACGATACTAACAATAATAATCATAAACATAAAAATAAATTCCAATATAATGACCTTGGTAAGCAAACAATTATATTGCTGGATTATATGTTAACAATTACTTTCAACCATTTATCCATGTCATTCCTTACCTAGGTGGTATTAAAACCTTACATCTCCTTTCCGTTTCTCCCCTAGATTCATTCACGTGCGAGGACGTGACCTGCGCGCCGGGTGAGACGTGCGTGATGCAGGAGGTGGTATGTGTCACTGAACCCTGCTACCCTGTTCCCGAATGCATCGCTGAATGATTAATTAATCGGGATTAATATAGAATCTTCTCGCCACTCTCCAGGCCTTTCAATTCCAATGACACCCACTTTAAAGGCTCGATTGCCGATAAATCTGCATGTCGCTACTTTGCGATAGGTGCCGACCGTATCCAGACCCCGTTCACTTTTCGCATATCCAGTTCCATTCCTTTTGTATTTTTTTTTTTTACTTTTGAGAGGTATGATAGGGTTCGGAATGTGGTGACAGGTCTTGAAGGAGCCATGAAGTACGCCACCCAGTCCCATTCCTCATAGGGTGATTCAAAGTGAAATCAGCACAGCATAATTTTGGTAAATGTTTGTCGGGTTATGGGGTCCACAGGGGAAATAATCCTAGCCAATTTTCAGATTTCTATGTCGTACCCTTTTAGGTGAAGAGAATTAGATGTCACAGAAAGTGGCAACTTCTGGCCGGTGTTCATCGCGCAAGTGCCAGAATATGCCCTTGGACTAACTAAAAAACTAAAATTTAATTAACTGATAATTATCGGAGGAGTAAATTGATGCCAATACGAACATCCCGAGATTCTCGAGCCTAATTTTCCCCAGCGATCACGTCGTTAAACGGATTCAAAAACCTGGGACACCAACGTGAAATTAAAGATACTCGGACCGGATCGCGTCGAATCAGAACACCCCAGGGGAAGAATGTAATAAATAAACTTGGCGTTTCAGGAAAACATTCTGACCCTCTAATACTATATTTCTTATATAGACATTACCTTCATATTGGTAAATATGTTCATAATACAAGAAAGGCGAAGGTACGAAAACAAGAACAATTACTTGGTCGCAAGCTAAAGTAGTGCTCCTATCCATTTCGAAGCGAATTATGTAAAAAAACGAATAAAACATAAGTTACGGATATGAATTCCTCCGTATACTGATATGGAAACCTACACTTCGAAATATTCTGAGGAACACCCTGCAGACGTTTCACAAATTATTACAAGGCGTTCCAATTTACTGTACCATCACTCTGGCGCCTGGCAAAATAATAGTGTTCTTGCCACTTTTGCAGTGGATGGAAACACGCCCAGTCTTCAGCCTAACCAATGGCAGCTTGCTCGAGGGATATGCGACGTGTTGGGTCCGCTTGACGAAGCGGCACGGCTTCTTAGCTCTGCAAGCGTTTCGGGGGTGTTCCGTTGATAAGAAGTCAAAAGCAAAAGCTAGTCGGTCGATGGTTTAAAGACACGGTTTAAAGGGGAATTTGAGAATGAGCATTACTGTCAGGCCACAGTGCTTCATCCTCGTTTCAAGACAGATCTGTCCTCTACTGCAACAAAGGAGCGAATATCCCCAAAATTTAAAGAATTGATTGGATGTTGCAAAAAGAACAACGGCAAGTTCCAGTTGACCCATCAGCAACATTTATCATTTCCTCTTCATTGTGGTCCACAACAGATAACATTCTAAATGCATATGGTCCCCTACCAAAAGGCACATCAGAGCTGTCTGTGTGTCTGCAATAGAACAAGATGAACAAGGAGAGCAATAACATACGATATTGGGAATTACGATATTGAATTGACTACAGGTCTTCCTTCCCCCATCTTCAATGAGATTGCCTTCAAATGTGCTTGTCTGTCTTCGGAGAGGGTTTAGTTGCTCTGGTGCCATTTGCTCCTCTAGGAGAAACTGTTCGAATGAATAAAAAAAAATTGGCATTCCCAAATCTTTGGAAATGAACAAGTCTTTCTTGCCTATCTCCTTCTCATGAATAAAATCTATGTATGCCAGAATAATCGTGTTTCACTTCTAACAGTCACTGTGAGATATCGGCATCGGGAATACCTGGATCGACACGTCCATGGTTGTTTCCAATGCAACATTGAGCTACTCTTAGATCAAGGGGCGGAATTTCTGACTCCGTACGTGTCAATGAATTCATGGTTTCAGAGATGGTGGTGTTAGATTAGTTCGAAGTTCAAGCTATTGATGACCCCTCTCAGCAGGCTTTAGGTCACAACGGCACCGACAATAACACCTACGCGCTGGTGAAATGGAGTGAGGATGGAAGAGTCCATGGAATTCTACTGTAAAAGGAGACCTGAAACTGATCGCTGTAGAGTGTGAATCTCCTCGACGATAATAGGAGCTTCATAAAGGAAGACTGTTACGTTCCTGTTGAATGAAAGACTTGGCAAGTCATCAAATTGAAGGGTTATCTTTACAATTAAGGTTTTTTTAACTTCATACTGAGTGTATTGGGACTAGGTTATGTTTTCCTGAAGTGTCTTTATACAACACCCAATAGGCCCAGAAGAATGAGGTGAAGTGACGCAAGAGATTGAAAAGAAAGGTGAAAAGGACAAATGTTAAAGCAAGGGTACAGAACGCCCTTACGAGAAGCTGTTCAAGCAATAACTCGGAGAAAAGCACCAGGTGAGTCTACCTTGCTTCTGAGGAGCAATGCATGGTACATGGCTCTGATAAGAGATTATTAAGGTACGAGAGTCTGGAGCCACCAGAAGCGTTTTTGAATGGAGATCGTGGGCATAAAAAAGCTGGCATGAAATCAATTGCGGACCTCCCAAGAGATTCGCAAGAGAGCCTTCTTCAGTCTCTGGCTCTTCTGGTTTCGTGAGAATCAGCATAACTAACTTGGTGGACCTTAGTAGAAAAATACGCTCCTGTACCTAACCATCAAGCAATTAGCAGGGACACCAATGCACCTATTACTTTATAATCTGCCAATGTTTCTACCCACCGTTCTGAACTGAACTGAATTCTAAGGATTCCAGATCCCAGATAGTATTTGCAAGATGGTTGAAGCTGCCAAGGATTGGCAAGATCGACTTTGACATAGTTTAGAGAAAGCTACTCACTGACGATTAGCTCACAAATACATCATCCCTCAGTTGGCGTATATTCATCAAGCTGGATGAGAAAAATTGAAAGAGGGACAAGTGAAATGGGTCGTATGTGCTGTAAAGTACTTGTCATTGGGATGCACTGATAGAGAAGGACGTCTGTAGAAGAATAGGCCTGTCAGAATCATCGTTAGATTTCCTGTACATATTAAATGAAGAGTAATTAAGTTCTTGTAAAAATCGTAACTCTAAATGGCTAATGTTTAATGTGGAGAATTGAGTGTGTTATTAACGCATGACGTACTGGACATTTCACCCCGTCGATTCGACATTCTGACCTAAGCCTCGGCAACCTTAGCCTGAACCTCGACGCCTACAAGGCTATAACTTTTTCGGCCATAGGCTCAGCGAAAGGACTCAAATACGGGGATCTCCGTAAGCGGTATCATTGTGCTGCCGCAGTCGAACGCACGAAGCCTACAAACCTATACCTTTATAGGGCACAGGCTGGGCGGCTGGAAATGGGTCGCGAAGGATCACTACGCCGTTTCAGGTGGATGGATTAAAAGTACACTCTTGGCCTATAGCTAAAAATAACATCGACTTGTAGGCCAAACCTACCAGTTCTTTCGTCGCGGATAAAAGGTCGCATGCACTTTTTGTCGTTGCAGTACTTCGTCGCGGGCGAGGATCGTCACGGTCATTCTTGACGCTATTTTGAGTCGTTATGGTTTCATATTTACAGTCTTGTAAATGGCACTGGAATAATTCAAGACGTCTAAAGGTAAAGATATGCTTCACTATGAAGCGGCTTTTTTATACTGTACAGAAGCGAAGTTCCGATAAGATTGAATGGCGATATGAGCTGCGAAGCTGTAAGGGTAGGCCGCACACAAGAAATTACGTAGCGACCATGTCGTCCACTGACCATGTCACATGACCATGTCATGCCACAACCATGCAGTTCTGATCGTGTCCAAGTGGCAAAAGCAGTTGCGGGAGCTGAAAGTCGCCGCTCAAAATTCTCAGGAATCCACTCGTAGACTGTTGCAAGCTGCATTTCGTAAATTGCCTCTCACTGCTTCTGGACGAGCCCCGTCTGCACGCACGTTGGAAAGAATGGTTCGGCGAGAGAGGGAAGAGGAAACAGCTGAGGTTACAGATGTTACAGCAATAAATGGAGAGTCGTTCCGGCGTGTCTGAGCCTGACGGCCTCGAAGTATTCACAGCTGATAGTGATTTCAGAATGCTGGCTGAGTCGCTGCTTTCCCGAGGGTTTGGTACAAGCGCGCCAAGAATTGATTATCGTGGAGATAATGGCTAGGAGATACTGGTCACCCATGGCCATCCGCAGATGATTGGGGTTAGACACGCTCTTATTATTTAACACATCACGATCGAACGCGCATTCTTCCTTGGATCCTTGTAAGTCATTCGTGCTGGCCTTTTAGAACTCGTTAAGGATTATGATGGCCACAAAAGACGGAAGTACGCCGCACATGATCTCGATGATGCTTTCGCGGTTAAATCCTTGACTTGTTGGTATCCTCGGTCTGTTGTGTTCGGTTAGTGAGGTGACCTATGCTGGGCGAAAGAGAAAAAAGGCTTCCATAGTCTCTGGAGGAGGGAATTAGCCTTAGCTATTTCTAGCCCTTGGGGTGAGGATGGGAGAGTGGTGGGGGGTCGGGGTCCTATTGCCGCTACTTAGTACTTGTGAAAGTGAGCAAGGAGCCTCGCTTGGCGCCTGGGTCGGCCTTCATTTTGTCGGTTCCGGTGAAAATCACCGGCTCCGGGGTTGACTGGGCTATTTTGGGAATTTCAGGCTTCCCATAGTAGGTATACGAGGTGTGGCTATTAAATAACGAGACTGGGCGCCCTGTAGGCGGTATAATTCTAGGAGCGGGGAGCACATGTGCAATGAGTGACTTTGAAGCTTCCGGAACCTGACGAGACGAGCCGGGTTTCGTTGGCGCTAGTAGTCAGTCTGCTAGCAGCGTTTGACGGGAGAGGTGCGCAATCGTCTTGCCGGAATCATGGCTAATGTAAAAATCGAGCAGCGCATCAATCTCAAATTCCTAGTGAAATTGAAGAAATCGCCGAGTGAGTGCTTGAAACTGTTGCAAGAGGTGTACGTGATTTCACGTGCGCGAGTGTTTGAATGGATCGCCGATTAAGTATTCGGATGATAGCAGACATGAACA